ACTAGTATAAAAAAATAGGAAGAGAAAAAGTAAAGGAAGTTATCATAAATGCTGTATTTTTTTTTAACCCAAGTATTTTGGTGGGGAAAACAAGTTGCTTAGCATATGTTAAGTTGTAGTCTATATGTATGAGACTATTGCTTAAAGATTTTAAATTGTATAAATACATTAATAAATTATTTCATTCAACACTCCAAAAAAACAAAACAATTTCCACATAAACTGGGTCCAGTGGTACACTCCTGTAATCCCAGCAGCTTGGGAGGTTGAAGCAGGCCAATTTGAGTTTAAGGCCAATCGGAGCAATTTAGGAAAATAAAAACTAAGGGCTTGGGGTAAAGCTCAATGGTAGAATATCCTTAGCACCAAAAAAAGTAAAAGCTCTGTATGATATCCAGTTGGAATATTAATAGGAGATACATTAAATTTATAGATCATTTGCAAAACACTGGTACCTATGTGCTAGGTAGTGTTCATGGTCCTAGAGATACAATGATAAGCAAGACAGGCAAGGGAGCTTCACATCACTATTAGAATAAAATATATGCCATCACCACACATGACCCAAACATCCTCCACTCCAACTTATTTCCACCGTTCTCAGTTCCACACAGTCCTCTGCCATTCACTTTGACAGCCAAGTATTCTCCCACTGTGGTTTTTGCTAGAAAACCCTTACCCCTCCACACATCTTTTCTGCATGACAGGCATCCTTACTTTAAGCAGGTACTTGCTTAAATAACCACACTTTTAGAGATGCTACCATATTATCTAAAAGAACTGCAGCATGTTTCTTGAATTAGTGTTTTTGTTATATCAGGGTTGCCAATCCCAGGGCCATGGACTGGTACTGGTCTGTGGCCTAAAAGGAAATGGGTCACACAGCAGATAAGGATCAACTGCTTTATACCTCCTATAGCATCTAACATATTGATATGTATAGTACTGGATTTTTTTTTCTGCCCCCCTTACTAGAAAATAAACTCAGGGAACCAGAAATTCTGTCTTGTTTACCGTTGTCCTGAGGGCCTTAGGCTATACCTGAAAAGTAGTTAAGTAGGTGCTTAGTAAATGTACTAAATAAATGAAAAAAAGTATGACCACATTACGGAAGGAATTGGCAAGTGACACACACAGAGGCAGCAGAATGGAAGTAAAATTAAAAAGTTTACTCCATCAATGGGATCAATGACCCCTAATGGCGGTGCCCTGATCAATCTCCCCACTGGGTTACAACTCCTTTTATAGGGTTTTAGGCTTTGATCTTATTTAGTTGGTTACACTGCATTTTCACAGCTCACAGTGCTGATACCCAAAACGTGGTGGCAGGGCAGTTGAATTTCAACTCAGACGCAGTTCTTTGTTAGGGAAAGTTACCTTTTAGATTTATTCAGTTACCTATTCTAGCAAGGGGAAGGGAGCGTGTTTGGTCAACAAAGCTAACAATGGTTCTTTTCACTTACAAAACTTTTGGGGGAGACTAGGTGCCTCTGTTACCATTACCACTTAATTCTGAACTAAGCAGAGTGAGGGGCAGAAGTTACCTTATAATGTGACATTTCCGAAGTTTTCCCTATCAACCATAAAAACATGGAGGGGTTTCTAAAAAGACCTAAAGACCTTGTACAGACTTCAAAATGTTAGCTGCCTGAAGTCTTAGAAATATTTGGATAGTGCTTATCATAAGCATTACTCTTCCTGGTACTAGGAGAGGAACACAACTTTTGCAGAAGTCAATTTCTCTTATAAAGATAAATTTATTTTACAGAGAACTTGTACAACTTTTAGAGCTTTTCCTGGTTTGCTGGTTCTCAATAACCTTTTGTCCAACCAGGCATTTTTCAAAGTGGCATATTCTGGTAACTTTCAGGGCCATAACCTTTTCAGATTTCAGTCCTCAATCAATGTCTGTGAATGTTTGGTCTCATTTAAAAAACAACAGGGGCCAGGGATTTAGCTCAGTGGTTCTGGTGCCTGCCTCTCAAGCACAAGGACCTGAGTGCGATCCCTGGTACCTAAATAAATAAATAAATAAATAACAAAAGCCTCAAAACAGTAAAATCTATTTTTTCTCTGGAAACACATTGTCCTTCTGTGTTTTTTACTCTAGGATCGCCTGGGCAGTTGGACCTTTTATACTCTGAGAGCCTGCCCTCTGTCCCTCCAGTCTCTTGGTGTTGGACCCCACAACAACTCATTTTATGCCCTCATGAATAAGGACAGAGCGCTTTAAAGCCCACCACAATGCCCCCAAAACGTCCATCTTGTTTTCACTTTTGTTTTTATACCTGAAGAGGCAGGGGAATCACAGCAGCGCTTCCCAATGAGCCAGAGAAGAGCTATGGCTACTGGGGCCAAAAGCAATGTCTCTGTGGAATAAGAGACTGACTCCCCACTAAAAAGGATCACTGCTTCCCCATGATGTCCTCTGAGGGAAAAATCTGGGTTGGAGGTCTTCAGGCAGTGTTGGCTGGTCTGGGAGGAAGTATGTCAAGTAGCCAGCATAATTGAATGCCTACTCTGTTCTGTGTATTGCTCTGGGCATCCATGAATGAAACAGAATCTGACTTCATGAGGCTTTTGGTGTAAAAAGTAAATAAATGGACCATGTCAGTCTAAAAAGAAACTCCAACAAACTCGACTCTCTAGGAACAAAAAAATGTTTTTAAATAGCAAAAGGCTGGGGGTTTAGCTCAGTGGTACTACTCACTGCCTGCCTCAAAAGTTCAAGGACCCAAGTTTGATCCCCAGTACCAAAAAATAAAATAAAATAAAATAAAGCAGAATACAAGCTGGTACTGGTGGTGCACGCCTGTGATCCCAGCACTTGGGAGGTTGGAGGATGGCTGTGAGTTTGAGGCCAGCCTGGGCTACATATTTGAGCTTAACACCAGCCTGAACTGCACTGCAAAACTGTCTCAAAAGAAAAAAAAAAGAAATGCATGCTAAATATGAGCACTCAACACTTAACACAAGGGTAATCATTTTCACCTATGGTAAGCATTTCTGCGTAGTCCTCTTACTCCTGCCTTTAGTATTTTCTGGTCTTCAAGACAAACAGACATGCATTTTTTAAATTCAAAATTGTGTGAAAACTGTTTCTGTTTTTTAAAAACAATTATAGTATACATAGCCAGGTGTAGTGGTACATGCCTATAATCCCAGCACTTAGGAGGCTGAGGTACGAGGATCACTGTAAATTCCAGGTCAGCCTGGGCTACATAGTGAGTTCAAGGCCAGCCTGAACTACATACCAACATCTTGCCGCAAAAAAAAAAAACAAAACAAAAAGAAAGAACAGCCAAGTAAAACTCCTCAGTTTCAAAGGATGGGAATGTAGTTCAAATAGGATGGTGTTCAGATGCCTAGGGAGCCAAAACTATTTGCCTGTAGAGATTAAATACACTATTTCTATTTGCTTTGTTTTAATGCCTAAAGCTGTCACAACTTTTTTCAGCTCAACAAAAGGGAAAACTGCATTTTATTCATTGAGCATACATTTACTGAGCACAGTGCCAAATATTGTACTTGATTACCAAATTCCTGATTGTAAGAATTTCATTGTTCTATTCTTGGTTACAAATTATGTTTCACAATTTACCAGAAATGCGTTATTACTAAAAATTGTATTATAAATATTAAAAATGCATCTTGTCTATTGGATGGGTCAGTATTTTCCTTTTGAAAACATTATGTTGTGTTGAGGTTACCAAATGACCTACTTTGGAAAAACATTAAACCAGTAATCAGTATGACTCAGTTCTGGCAATTGCCCCAGTGATGTCACCACAATAGTCATGAGAGGTGCATTAGGTCAATCAATGGAGCAGCATGCATGACTCAGGAGGAGTGCCCGGCTGGTCAAACAAAACGAAAATCATTTCACTCTCATGAAAAATTAATCAGCCATTTGTAAAGCATTTTCAAAACATTTTTATAAATTATCTCCAAGTTTTTAGATTCCCTTATCAGAGAAACTAACTTTCGATCTACTTAAATCAGTAGACGACAGATCTAATTAAAGCTATCTAGATGTTAACCAGGTGTTTATCCACAAAGTATTAACGTTATGCTCAGGGTTAAAATTTAATGGGTAGTCATATTTTCTAAGTGAAATCTGACAAAGCTGTTAATTTCAAAAGTTATCACAAGAAAAAAAAAACAAAAACAAACCCAGACATTTCGCTGTTTACTTTTTCACATTCTCCACCCCCATGACTCCACATAAAATCACGATTGGATCCAAACACCCGTCTCACTCATGTAGCTAAATTATCTCCCTGTAGGCCGAGCAGCCACGCCCAGGGAAACCAGTGGCATGGTCCTAGCGATTTAACTCAACCTTCTGGTTTCCTCCAACAATAAGCACCTGAGTGGGAGGGCTACTAGTTATGCTGTTGTAGGCAAATTGCTCATCTCTTGAACCAGCTCTTTGCCTCCGCGCATTTCTCCGTTTACCCAAGAAGTTTGGAGAAATACCGAGGAGGAAGAAAGGTTTGCAGGTACTGTCGGAGTCAGATCGAAGCACCTGGAGCCTGAGCCCCTTTCCTCGAGGAGTCTCTCCACGGGGTGCCAGGTCTCCGCAGAGGGCCCAGCTACAAAGTCTGAATTTAGACAGTCCTCGGGCTATTATGAGGGTTCAGTAAGACAAAGCAGCTAAACCTTTCTGACTACAGCAAACGCAATTAAAACTCTACACCCCTCAATAACCCAGAGTAAAAACCTGAGAAGCGCGCGTTAAAAGAAGGGGCCGGGGACTGTGCTTCACAGGGAACACTGGGAAAAACAACTGCAGGACACACTGCCAAACTGCTTTGCACCTGTAAATAGGTCCGCAACCGCCCATCACAGGAATTCGCCCCAGAACCTGCTACTTTCTCGCCTAAAGTCAGAAAATGCCGAACTTCGGGAAATGGGGCTTTGAAGGCGGAAACAGAAAGACACCTCCCGCCACCCGCCCGCGCTCCGGCCGGAAATACTTATCCTTCAGGCCGGCTAACCTATGAGGCGCACGCGCACTGAGTTACTCAGCAACGACAGCACTAAACCACCGCCCAGCAACAGTGGAGCTGCCAAGTCTCTCACCACTCAGCGCCTGTCTCACCTTCACACGCCTCACCAATCAGCGCTGGCGCCGCAACGAAGTTTCCAGAGATTTCGAGAAAGGTTCCTTAAACTCGGATTCATCCGCCTGATAATTTTTCCATTTTACTGTAAAGGAAGAGATAGGACGCCTGGAGGAAAAGGAATGTAACTTTTTAGGACCGTATGTTTCGGCTGTGAGGAATATGAGGCTCAATTGAAAAACCTAACTAGTCCTGAGAGGTGGAGCCTAGCGAACTACTTTCACCGGCGCACGGAGACCGCGGCTACGTAGTAGTGCTATGTGACGCAACAGACATTGCATAAATAGCAGGTCCGCCAACGCGCGCTGTTGTGGCGAGCGGCTTTGTCGAGTGAGGAGTTGGTGTCGTTCTGGTGGCTCGACGTTTGTGAGACCTTGCGTCGCGGTGTTTTCGCACTCGATAACAGGTATGGCCTGTGTCATTGAGGATTTGGAAAGCGTGGAAAAGGGGCTCGGGTGAAGTTCAGCCGGCGGTTTCTTAGGTCTCGGTGAGCCTCGAGGGGTTAGAGTGGGGGAGGGGAGGGCAATGTGACGTGACTCGGCCCCCGCACTTTACCAAACATTGGGGCTTGTTTGCGCGCGGGTTGGGGGTGCGGCCGGCTTGCACGTTAAAGGCTAACGGACGCTTAACCGATGGAACTTCCATCCGGCTCACTTAAGAGGGGTAAGGCTGGGAGGAGGTATTTTTCTGTGACCTGTGGAAATCTCCAGTAGAGGCTGTCATTTTAGAGTACCGTTTCGGTCTCTGGGAATTTTTGTGTTTTGGGCCTTGTGCGTTTAGTTTTGATTCCCCCCGCTCCGGGGGTCAAAGTAAGGACTTTGCGCTTGCGAAGCAGGCGCCGCACCATTTAGCTGTATATCCCTGGCCCTTGGTTTTGTTTTTAATTTATCAGGCTTAGCTTTGGAGAAATTAATGAGAGGTGGAGGGCTGGAGATGTAGCTCAGCACCTGCCTGGCAGGCGAGAGGCCCTGAATTCAATTCCTGGTGCTAAAAAGAAAAAAAAAAAACACACTGAACAGGAAGTTGTACTAGTTTAGAAAGCACTTGTGATTTTTTTAGCTGTTAATTTGAAATAGTGTGTTATGTAGAAATCTGAAGAACTTAGAGATGTGTTTTAAAACATTTTGAGAGAATAGTTAACTTTTTTTTCTTTAATGGTATCGGAATCGAACTCGGGCCCTTGGGCTTTCGAGCCAGGTGGTGGAACCACTGAGCCAGATCGCCGGCCCAATAGTTAACGGTTTTGAAGAACGTTTTTAGATGTTAAAAGTAACACTTGTCATTTTAATTATAGGTCAAAATGCAGATCTTTGTGAAGACCCTGACTGGCAAGACCATCACCCTGGAGGTGGAGCCCAGTGATACCATTGAGAATGTGAAGGCCAAGATCCAGGATAAAGAAGGCATCCCTCCTGACCAGCAGAGGCTCATCTTTGCAGGCAAGCAGCTGGAAGATGGCCGCACTCTTTCTGACTACAATATTCAGAAAGAGTCTACTCTTCACCTGGTCCTCCGTCTGAGGGGTGGCTGTTAGTTCTTCAGTGCCCAGTGATGGTGGTACTCTACATTATAGCCATTGGCCCCAATTTAAGTTTCAAAATTACCAGCTTCAGAAATAGCTGAACCTGTTCAAAATGTTAATAAAGGTTTTGTTGCATGGTAACTTGTCTGTTGCAAAACTTGTTGGGGGTGTGTGGGAACTTATTAAAATGGTGTTAGTGGCCTGGGAATTAAGCTCAGTGGCACTGTGCCTGCCGGGAAAGCGCAAGGTCCTCATTTCAATCCCTGGTATCAGAAAAGAATTGGTGGTAAGTCAGGCATGTAACTTGCCCAAAATTGTCACCTGGTTATATACTTGAGTCTGGTAGGTTGTAGGAGCTACGTCTTAACAATAGCAACGCATTCAAAATGCAATGAATTAAAAATAGGATATACAGGCTTTTTTAAGGTAAAGGGGATGAAATCAGTCTTTTAGGAACAGACAAGATTTTGTTGAACCTCCTTTTTAGTCTTGAGGAGTGTGCATTTTCTAATAGATACAAAATAGAGCCTTATCCCTGTCCCTTCTGTATTTAACTCCTGAGCCAAGAACCAATGGGTCACTAATCATTAGTTTTTGGTTTTTGTTTTTTTTTTTGGCTTTTTTGAGATGGGGTCTCACTGAGTTAGGTCAGACTGCACTGGAACTCACTGTAGCCCAGGCTGGTCTCAAACTCACAGCAATCCTTTTGCCCTTGAACTTCCTGAGTGCTGGGATTACAGGCAGGTGCCACCACACCTGGCCACTAATAAGTTTTGAAGGAAAGTTGGGTGAAGAGATTGCTAAGGAAGCACACAAGTTAAAAGGATAAACTGATCTGAGGAAACAATGTAAATTTTTTTGTGTGTGTTGTAAGTGCTCTGCTACACCTATACCCCAATCTTAACAATTTGTTTTGTCTTAAACTATAAAAGATGTAGCTGGGCATGGTGGCACACGCCTGTAATTCCAGCACTTGGGAGGCTGAGGCAGGAGGATCACTGATTTCAAGACCGGCCTGGGCTAGAGAGTTCCAGGTCAGTCTCAACTACATAGACCCATCCTCAAAAACAACAAAAATTATAAAGATGTGGTTGCAGTACTAATGACAATTTCATGAAATCGAGTAATATTTGAACATGGGCCAATTGGTTTGGGTTTTTTCTTTTTCTTTTTTTTTTTTTTTTTTTTTTGTGACAGTATTTTTTTTTTTTTTTTTTTTTTTATTGTGACAGTCTCACTATTTCAGACTGGCCTTAAAAGTACCAAAGACCCGGGGCTACCCTCAACTCATGGCAGTCTGAGAGCTTGGATTAAGGTATGCATGGCATGTGCCCATTCTAAGAATGTGTCCCAAGAGCATGCATGGAAAGGACCTTGCCTTTTTGAGGCTGGTGGTGGAACCACTAAGCTAAATTTCTGGCCCTAGAATTTCTAGTTCTTTGATTAAATCAATAGTACAATAAATGCCCTGGTAAGTGTCTTGTCAACCGATATACAAGTAATTTTTTAGGATTTACAAGTGAGGTCACTGAATATAGGATTTGAAGTGTTTTAAGGTTGGTATAAATTCCTTCAAAAGGAAGTCCTGCCATAAAACATGGATGCGTTACAGGGCTTAAAAGGCAGCCTGCCATAATCCTTAATGATCTTGTTTTTTTGTTTTAATTTTGTTTTTGGTACTAGGAATCAAACTCTTGTGTTTGTGAGGCAGACTGTAGAACCACTGAGCTAAACACCCAGCCCTACAATCTCAGTTTTTTTACCCCCTCACCTATCCATATGAATGTTTTTGCAGTTTGGTGATTTGAAACCATGAGTCGCCCTGGACTACCAGTAAGGCCTTTAGATCAGCCCTACAGACCTTTTTCTCTTCCAAAGGTACTGAAGTATCTTCTTTGTTGGATGCAACTGTCAGCGTTTCACACTCGGGGTGAGGACAACAGTTTTCAAGTTGGGAGAATTCTTCAAAATGGCTTTTTGGGAGACCTCCGCTGCAATACTAAAGGAGTCCAAGGGAGTAGTCCATGGTGAGGTAGCTTTACATGCATCACCCACATCCCTGGACTGGGGATTGAACTCGGGGACTTGTGCTTGCCAGTCAGGCACAGTGCCACTGAGCTTCATCCCTTGCGATGTTACCTTTATTCTTTTATTTGGAGATGGTCTCACTAATTCGTGTAAGCCTGCCAAGGCCCTCTTTCCTTAATCCTTCTGAGGGGTGGGATTACAGACATCCTCCAACAAATTTGTCTTGATGCCCAAGTTAATGAATTGTGAGGTGAGGCCAGCACGCCGTGGTCAAAAGCTCTGTCCCCTTAGCTAAAACAAGCAAGGCCTGATACCTACAATGCTTTTCTTGCTCCCCGCCCCCACCCCCCTTTCAGAGGTATAAGTAACTTCCTAAATTTTTCAGATCCTCCAGCCTTAGCCTCCCAGAGTGCTAGGCTTACACATCTGTACACATGCAGCTAACTATATCTAATATCTATGTAGCATCTCTGGGTTCCCCAACACCATAAAACTCAGGAGGAGAAGGTAGAGATCCAAACTGCCTTGAGGTGTGCTGGTACCCAGAATAGCTAACACCTTCCATTCAGAAAAGGTGAGGCTAAACAGCCCTGGGGTTGAGCTCCTCCTCACAATCCAAATCCAAAACACCTGCTAAGTAAGTGTTCTCAGTCCCACCCAAAAGTTGGTAAAACTAAAATTGGTCTTTCTCACCCTGAGCAGCACACATGCTCAGTCATGCAGTGAGGCAGATGTGTCAACAGACACTTCAGTAATACAGCATGGTAAATAAAATACCAGGGCAGGGCCACACAGGTCACTGAATCATTACAAGAACTAGCCTTTGTGGTGGGAAAAAAGTGACAAAGCACTTGGGATGATGGCAGGATGTGGTGCTTTGAACAGAATTGTGTAATGGAGGAAATGAGGTTGGCACCTCGGCCTTGAGACAGAGTACTTGCCTCCCTGGGTATAGGGACTTAGATCTGGGGTCTGGGTACACTTGGAGTCAAATGGAGGCTCCCAGACATCCTGTGTTTGTAAGATGCTGAGATAACGGGTAGAGAGTGACGGACTTCGAGAAGATGCCTACTTGTCCCATCTCTCCACCTGAGCCAGGGCAATAACATTTTAAAGTGTGAGGCCAGACAGGCATGGTGGCCTACACCTGTAATCCCAACACTGGAAGCTGTGTCAGGAGGACTGCAAGTTCCAGCCCAGCCCGGGCAATTTAATAACAGTGAGATCCCGGCTCAAAGTAAAAGACTAAAAAAAGGGTTGAAGAGCTGGATATGGTGGCATATGCCTGTATTCTCAGCGCACAGGAGGCTGAGGCAGTGAGTTTGAGGCCAACCTGGGCAACACTGTGAGTTCAAGGCCAGCCTGAACTACATACAGAGACCCTGTGTCAAAACACCCCCCGGACCCCCGAAAAAAAAGGTGGGAACTTAGCTCTGTGTGAAGGTCTTGGGTTCAATTCCCAGTACTGAGGGGAAAAACAATAAGGGAGGGGCGCCTCCAAACGCATCTTCTCTGTGGAGCAAAGTGAAAACACGACCTGAGTTGCATCATGGGATGAAAGTGTTTTCTGGTGCCTTTCTCTGGGGCTCACTGGTCCTCCACCTCTGAGCTCACTGGGACCTGGCTGACAGAACAGAATATATCATCCCTGGGGAAATGAATTTCCAGGCCAGAATAACAAGATATTCCAAGGGCATCAACATTTACCAAACAGTAACTATATGGGTGGGCAGAGTTGTACGTGCCTCTATCCCATCAATCTGGGAGGCTGAGACAGGACCAAAAATGTGAGCATAGCCTGAACAATTCAGTCACAGTCTCAAAATAAAATAGATAAAGGGCTTCAGCTCGGTGTGAAGGTCCTCAATTCAGTTCTCAGTACTGCCCCCCCACATCCCAAAACAACAACATAATCCTAAACTGTGTTATCTTTAGGAGAAGCATTTTAAATTGGCCTAGTAAACATACTAGCAGACAAAAAGAAAGGGCAGCAGGGCATGGTGGCACATGCCTGTGATCCCAGCACTTGGGAAGAGAAGGCAGGTGGATCACCAAGTTCAATACCAGCCTGGGGAACTTAATGAGACTGTGTCTCAATAAAAAGTTCTGGGGAAGAAGCTCAGTGGTATAGCCTTTACCTAGCATGCACAAGGCCCTGGGCTCAACCCCCACTACGTTAAAAAAAAAAGAGAGAAGAAGAAAGGAAGAATGAATTAAGGGATGAGTGTGTCAAAGAAGAGACAAGAAAAAATTTCAGCTAGAAACATTTGGTGTAAACGTAAGACTATCAGAGGAGACAGGTGTGACGGTGCATGCCTGGTGATGGAAGCTAAGACGGAAAGATCATAAATTCAAGGCCAGCCTGGGCCACCTGGACAGACTCTATCTCCAAGTTAAAAACAAATATAAAAAGATAAAACATTTAAAGAGGGCTTGTGATGTACTCAGTGGGAAGGCTTTGGGTTTAGTCCATTTCACCACTAAACAAACACAAACAACCAGGGCTGTGGTTTAGCTCATACAAAGGTCCCAGGTTCGATCCCCTGATTAAAAAATAATACTAATAAATAAATAAATAAAATAAAAAAGAAAGGATGCAGAGGCCCCAGCCTTCTCCTTTTACCAATCCCCTGACAGGAGCCTGTTTATTGCCAGGCCAGCTTTCTCAGCTCAAGGAGCTAAACGCCCCCTCCCAACACTTCCCAGCCTTTGCAAAGTACCTCACGTGTTTACTTCACTGAGTCTCCACCTGAGTTTCTGAGGCTTGGGCTACTTTGTGCATCAGCTGTCATAAGGCTCCTAGCTTGTTTCCAAGAGAAGTGGGTTCCCCTTTAGCCCTGAGGCTCAAGGAGCCCTGGGAGCTGCTGAGCATCCCAAGGTCTGTCGTGAGGCCTCTGTGTGGGGGAGGAAAGAAAGTCTGATTTTTCACTATAGTCCTTCCCTTGAAAGCATCTTCCATGTCTCATAGTGAAATCCTAAACTTGGATTGGAGCCGAACAGCTGCCGTCTCCCTGCCTAGAGACCCAGCGAGAGGCACTTGCACTGGGATGTGCTAGTTTTAAAAATCCAAAAGCCTGTATTGTCTGTGTGCAGTGCTTTTTACTTCCCTGTTGCTCTGATAGCACTTTTTGGTTGATGCCACCCTTTTTGTTCCTGCTGGTATAAACTTTCCCTGATTGCATCTTTCGGTGATCTTCAATAAATGGTGCTGCCTTTCACGTACCATTGGATGTATGCTCTGCAACTCTCTGCTTGTCCACACAAGAGCCTGCAATCTACCTGTGGGATCCACCATGAGCTAATACTTTCTATTTATCTTCTGATACTGGGAACTGAACACAGGGCCTAGAGCATCCCAGTCCAGCACTCTACCACTGAAGCACTGAAGGGGCACTGAGCCCCTTTCAAATGTTATTTAGAGACAGGATCTTGCAAAGTCCCCAGGCTTTGCTCCTGGTTCCTTAGCCAATGCATCCTTCCCTCCAAACGAGAGCCCCTTCCCCTTTCTAAGTCCTCACTACCCTTGGGTGATGGCAAGAAATTTCCTTTTTAAAGTCTGTGCGGTTCAGCGAGAACACCACATATGGGACTCACGAGCCAGTAATGGTGGCTCTCACTTGTATCCTCAGCTACCTGGGACAGAGGCAAGAGGACTGAAGTTGCAGCCGGCCTGGGCAACTTAGCAAGGTGCTATGTCAAAATAAAAAGGGCTGAGGATGTAGCTCGGGGTAGAGCCCTCCAGTGTTCAATCCCCAGTGAGGGCAGCGAGAGGGAAGAGCATGAAAGAAGTCAGATACATCAGCTACCTGCTGTATGAGTTTACGGTCCTGGAAATGACCAAGTTTCTACAGAAACAGAAATCAGATCAGGAGGCATCGGGGAGCAGTGGTGAGAGAGGAGACCGGAAGGGCCACAGAGGCACACTTTAGGGTGATGGAAATGCTTTAGACTAGGTGAATGGCGGTGGTCACACAGTTCTACACATTTGTCAAATATTTTTGCACTGTACACTTAAAAGGGGAGTAAACTTTAAAATTAAAGTGTAAAATTTAAAAATCCAATAATACAAACCAAACACCAAAAAAGAGAAGGGCTGAATGTGTCGTTGAGTGGTAAAGCACTTGCCTAGAGTGTGCAAGGTCCTGGATTCAATGGCCATCACCGCAAAAAATCGAGACAGGAAGAAGGTAGAGTGACAGAAAATATAGCCTAATCATAAGAATCAGATTGCCAGGGTTCAAATTTCACCGCCATCAGTTGGGAACGGTGCAGGTATCTAGAGCAAGAGGGTCACTTTGTTTCTCGGGTCTCTCTCCCCTGCACCGAGGTAACAAACGGGATGTTGAAAAACACTGCCCATAAAGCGCTTGGCTGCCTGCGCGCTCCTGGCTTTGCCCAGCACCCTGCGAGCCCGCGCGCTCTCTTCCTCCTTTGGGTCGGAGGCGGAGGCCACAGGCCCTGACGCCCTCACCGTCCCATCGCGAGTCTCCGGGAGCCCAGTCGTGAGGAGGAGCGCCGCCCTCCCGTCCCGTCCGCCCCGCTCCCCGGCCGCCAGGGCGAGTCACA